AACCAACATGCACCATTATCGTAAGTGGCAGTTATGCTACCTGACAACAAAATTTAATCAAATCAGCTGAACGTTTATGCGCTAGCGTTGACCACAGACAGATGGAGAGACAGATGTTCTGCCGTCAATCACTTTTTCAATAAGAATGTTTCACAAAAAAAGGATTCTGTCTGCAATGTGTTAGAGGAAGTAATTTAGTTATATGTAGGGGCAAGATTTATCTAATTTTTTTTGTGTTCAGGGCCTGGTAATTAGAGTTCTAGTAAAGTGTATAAAATTATAAAAACATTTCCCTTTTAATCTCCGCAACATTACAATACTTTCTCTGTACTGCATACAGAGAAATAGAGAAAATAGCAGGAAAGTAAAATTAGATCTTCAAGAAAAATCATTACCAAAGTTTTGAAGGGAAAAAAAAAGCATTTTTTTGTGTGATTTTTCCTTGAAGTAAAGGTAATTAAAAAAATATATATGTTCTCATCTTCCAATTTTTTTAAACTTGTTTTTAGGATAAGGCAACAAGAATTTTAAGATAACGTGTAGTCTGATTTTGTAAATCTCTCTAGTGTTTCAAAATTGCAAAATAATGCATAATGCATAAATTGCATACAACGCAAGAGAGCTGTTGTGGTGTGACTAGTTCTATTTGTGTTAATATAATTTATTGTTTTTAGTTTAAAATGTTAATAGAAAATCGTGAGGAAATCAACTAAAAAATGAAGAAATTTGTCTTAAATGTATATTTATTAATTAATGTCCAAAACTGATAAAAACTGTGTATGATTTGTTATCAGGAGAAGTTAATTTGAAGTTACATTTATGTCCAGAAACAAAGCCATCTCAGCATTTGCTCTAGGATCAGAGAAACTGGACAAAAACCTGATAGAGATAGGGATCATTGTCCCAGAAGCTGAAGTACAATACTTGCTACAGGTTCTTTAGAATTATATAAGTCAAATGATAAATAATACATTACATATCATTGTTAAAATTGATATTACTTTCCTTTTGGATGCTCCGTAGGGTCTCTAATTGTATAGGAACAATTGTGCTACAGAAAAGATTTTACCTTGGGACTTCAGGCTGAGGAATCCGTTTATTAAATGTATTATGAATGTACATATTAGGTTTAAGTAGCTCATGCCAAATAACAAAATATAAAGCTAACTCTCACTACAATTTGTATAAATTGCAAAACATTTCTAGAATGGTAACAAGAAGATAAGTTTTTATGAATGTAATTGGAAAATAATCCTAATGATAAATGGTAAGTAAATTAAAATGTGGAATGTGATTTGATGAGATTTTGTTGTATTATTTGAGAAATATCTCAGAGATTGGAGGCGTGACTTTCATTGATTTCAATGGTGCACTTAGGTGTGCTTTTTGCAATTAAATTTTACAATTTTCCCCAGGTGTTCATTGTGAATTTCTTTGGGAATTTGCTAACGTTCTGATTTTCAGTTCTAGTACGTCTTAAAGAAGTCTTTTGACTAGATATTTCATATATAAAATAAAATGTTTTAATGAATTAACCTTGAATTTTTAATAATTTGTTATAACAATTTTCCCCCATCTCTGTGAATATATGTTAAATGTACTTTCTTTGTGTATAGATCGAGAAATGGCTCGACAAAAGGATGCTTATAGACGAGAATTAGAGGCTAGAAGAGAAAGACGTCATCTGGAGAAAGAAAAAGAGAAGGAACGTACGCTCCGTGAATTGGCGAAGAAGAGAGATCGCACTCCTAGTCGGGAGCGCAAAAAGCATCGTGGTGAGGATGTTGATCGAAATAAAGATATGGACACTGAAGGTAAAGTGAATTTCCTTATTGACCAGATGTGTTAAATATGCAACATAGGTGTGAAAACGATTTCATATTAGTTAAACTATCTTGATAAAAATCTCGAGCTGAAAATTGTTATAATAACACTTACGAAAATGAAACTTAATAATATTACTATAATATTATATTTGGAAGTAATAATAAATTCATACTGGAAATGTTTTGTCTTCATAATTTCATTAATAAAATTATCATTGTCTGAAAATCAACTGACTTCTGTTGTATTTGTTTGTCACATCTGACATCTGCTTTGAAAATTTTTGATCATTGAGTTATTCTGTAGAATGTTATAACAATTTTTTTTATCCCGGGTTGAGTAGTAGGTGTCTCTTTGTTAGGCGGCCTAAAGGACGAATTGAGTCAACAAGTCGTTACAGTATCAGATGACTCTGATGAGGAGGAAGAAACTGGATCTGGTGTTGAAAATAAAGTGAGCCGAACTGATGGTCATTCTCATGGACAAGAAATAGACGATGATGATGAGGCCTCAAGTTTAGCTGAGGAAGAAGAAGAGGAAGAAGAAGATGAGAGTGATAGTAGTTCTGCAACTGAGGAGGAAGCAGGTATAAATTGACCAATTTTGGGAATACTTTATTTTAAATAACTGTAAGTTCACTGTATTTTTGTATTGTAATTAAAGGAGACACTGAAGAGTCAGCAAGACGGAATACTGATGTTGAAGAGACATATAGTAATAACGGATCACCTACAGTAGCTGCAGAACGGAGTTCTCCTGCTGGCTCAGAAACTAGTCAGAATCAAACTGAACCCAACAAAACAGATACTACAGAAGGCAAAGGAAACCAGGTGGATGAAAATGGTATTCCTTTCATTAATGATGAGTCTCCCAAATCAGATATTGTCTTGCAGGACTCTCTTCCTCCTTATTTGCCTGCTATTCAGGGTTGTCGAAGTGTGGAAGAATTCCAGTGTTTGAATAGGTATGGACATTACAGATAACGTTTATTTGAATGTATTTTAATTATCTAATTTTGTGCATAAAATTCAGGAGTGATTAATTCTCCTGGTTTTATTTATAAATGACTGTTCCTGGAGTTTCATATTGTAAATTTTCTAAAGATGTGATAGTAGTATTATTTTATGTTACAGAATTGAAGAAGGTACGTATGGGGTTGTCTACCGAGCTCGAGACAAGAGGACAAATGAAGTAGTTGCCTTAAAACGACTAAAAATGGAGAAAGAAAAGGAAGGTTTTCCCATTACATCATTAAGAGAAATAAACACATTATTGAAGGTTAGTAATTTTATAATTTTACTTTTACTGTATATGTGAAAAATATCACCATAAATAAACTAGTATATTTTTATTATGTAATATAAATTATTATGTAAGGAGACAAGTATGTTGAGTTACTGCATGATATTATCTTAATGTACTGCACCATTATTGATAAACTTTTGTGTTATTATCCTTAAAGTCCGAAGTGCTATTGTCCGTATAATATTTTTGTCAACTGTCAGCTGAGATGGGGTAGAGTGATGTTGCAACTTATTTGGGCAGCAGATATGTGGTCATTCTAGCATCAGATCAAAAGCAAGAAACAAAACTGCAATAAGAGCACAGAGCATTAGGCAACACAGAACCGCACGCAATGCATAATCAAAGAAGAAATGGTGCTCCTAAACTTATGGTTGCTTTGTGCTATGAGTTTTTTTTTTCCCCTTTTCTTTCTTTCTTTTTTTTTTTTTTCAAAATCATTGGCAACTGCAGTGACCTTATCACAATTTGAAGTCTCTGATTGGATAACAGAACACCCTCCCCACTGTCTGCCGGGAGCTGTGAAGTAGACAAAAGTATTATTTGTAGTACATAGGTGATTATTAACAATCATAAACTGCAATATATTTACAAAATAATTACTTTTGTGGTCCTTTTTCTCCTAGCATTACATCACAGATTCAAGAGTGCATCAATTTGCAATGGTTTAGACATGCGTCACCTGAGGATGATAATTGAGATCTATGATTGAGTTCATCATTGCACAGAATTGCAGATATGTAGGATAGGAAAGGGCTCAGTTTTTATTTTACATTCAATTGTCTACTTCCAAATATTCATATTTAAGAATGATTCTGACAAGGTTTTTTCACTCTGTTTATAATAGTAACCTGGATATTGATTTTAATTGAATCTAGGCATGAATGTATTTCTGTACAAAACATATTGAATTGAAAAAAAGTCATTTTGCTGAAGGATGTGCTTGATATTGTCGTAAAAAGGTGTGAATGTACATATGTGTTCTGCATAAAATAGTTATTAGTTTAATTGTAATAAATTAAGCATGACTATTACATATTTGCTAATTGTGAAAGCAAAACATATGAATGATTTACGTGTTATGTTGAAACTAACAGATGGATGAATTTTAAATAGAAGTGTTTTATTATAGAGGAGAGTGAAATCATATCTTTTATTGCTGAAGGAATGATTCAGTGAAAAAAGATAGTCAGGAAGAAGTATTATTGAAATAAAAAGGTAATGGGAAATAGGTATTTGCAGGAAATGAACATGTATCAACACTGTTTTTCAAGGTTGTTGAAAATAGAACAAAAGAGGTTACCTATCTTAGATAATAGAAAAACTTTTGTCAATCTGAGATCCACTGTCATCTTGGACTTTTTCAAATATTATAATTGTCTAAGTGGTTAATGGGCACCTTTTCATTAGCCACTATTTATCAAAGACCGTAAAATGTGTACTTGAATTCAATTAAGAGCACTTTTATATTTAAAAATCAATTGCCTCAGTGTGAAGTTGATGATCAATTAAAACTTTCCTTTATAAATATGTATAAGAAGAAAAAAATATGGATAGAGTTGTTTTACAATGTGGCAATTGATTGAAGATATAGGTATATAATATATAAACTTTGACAAGAATGTATGTGAATTCAAGTAATATGTTTTTTAGTTTAGATTTGTGTATTATTTTTAGATATAAGGTGAGTTGGGAAGTTTGGGATCAGAAACCGCAGTAATATTTTTTTAGTGAGAAAGTGAGTGAGGAAGACCGGTTATTTCCAGATGGGCAGAGAGGGGCAGAACAGGAATATAATAGAATATACAGATGTAGTCTCTGCTGCATGGTGGGAATACCATACTTACTCGATTATGAGTACTTATGCCAATTTCATGATAAATTTTATTTTCCAGGCTCAGCATCCGAATATAGTGACGGTGCGGGAAATTGTAGTTGGAAGTAACATGGATAAAATTTTCATTGTTATGGACTATGTGGAACATGACCTCAAATCTCTCATGGAAACAATGAAACAGAAGAAGCAGTGCTTTATTCCAGGTGATTGCATTAACCTTTATGCTACATATTCTTTAAGATTACTAGCCTATAAATAATTCCAGGAGGTGGAATAATTATTTTAATACTTTCAGATCTAATTTGGTGATGATATTAAATTTTTTTAGGGAAAGAAATAACTACAAGTTGTTCATTATGTAAGGTATGTTGCAAAATGATAAGATCAATTTGTGAATCTTTTATGGTCAATTTAATTTTCAAACAAAAATATTCTTAGCGTAACAGAAATTGTATTGGTGAGACAATCTATAGAATTATTTTATTTTATTTTATTTTCCTAACAAAATTTAAAATTAGAATATGATATATCAAAGTGATAAGACTATTTTATTGTAATGACCAATTTCTGACCCATATATCTTGACAAGATTGAATACTCTAGCTTTGTACTCCTCACAAGTTTTCAAACATGGACAATTTTTAATTTATTCATGTTAAAACAATGAAAGTTTTTAATTCTTCAACATTGTCATACCGCTTTCCACCTTTATAATTTTTTTCTACACATTCTCCAAAGGTTTTCTGTTGGGTTAAGGTCTAGAGAAAAGGCTAGTCATTCCACGACATTCACATTGTGACGATAAAACCATTTCTTTGTTGTCTGGGCAATGTGAATAGATGCTTTGTTTTGAAGGAATATTGAAAAATCTGTACTAATTGCCTCAGCAACTGCCAAAAGCTATTTTTCAAGGAGATACTGAGTCTGTGGCTCGTGTCTGACCAGTTGGGAAAACAAGGGATGTTGTTCCTGTGTAACTGAAGTGAACTATGAATGATCATCCCCCTTTATCTCCTTAAAAATATGTTTTCTTCCTTTCTGAGATTGTGCCAATGAAAAGAAAATCCGTTTCCATTTCTTATCTCTTGTCACATTATTTTTTGCTCATTCAAGTATTTTTTGCATAGACATTTGTCATATGTGATTGCTTTATTTTTTATACTTTAGAATATTTTATTTCTCATCAACTTGTCACTTCACATAAATAGTGTACTTTTAAGGATGCCATGGAACGAACAAATAACACTAGACTTCCATAAATACTTGAAAGTCACAGAATGAAGTTTGAAAAACAGAATGATCATATAATTTTGCAATTCTCATTTTTTAAAATTGGTGGTCCTTTTGATTTAAATATTATTTACTGGTATAAATGACTATTTTTCAAAGATATTATTTGGCCCTCTATACAATGCTATGTGAAGTTTCAGAGCAAGATTTGCTATTTTGATGTAGGACCTTAAAAATACAATGATTTTAACATTTGGCAGCACACTTTTGTATTGAGTGTGAACTTAGTAGTATGATGTATGATTATTAAATTATAATTATTTGCACTGATGAAGTTGACCATATATGTGTACTTTAGGATGATCCCTGTTATGTTTCAAATAAATAATCAGAGAACTTTTAAGTAGAGAACCCAGTGTAGATAACACTGGTGCTATAAAGTTATGACTGTCTTAAAATTAATATCTTCTTATAATATTGTTGTCCGATATGATAAAAATGTCAAATTTTAGACTTCTCAAAGGAAATCAACTTCTAACACCATAGTCCATATCAAAATGTTATGTATGTTACATCTCCAATGACTAATTGACATAGCATGCAGCTGAGAAAATGTTGAGACTATTGAGTAACTCACAGAAGTTACCTTACTCGCCCTCGCATGCTCTGTCACATTCATACTTATTATTCTTGCTCTGTCATTCCCTTGCACACCCTACTGCTCTTGCATTCACTCACTTTGAGTGTTATGTAAGTTGATGGTGGTACCAGGGAATTATTTCTTGATTAATTTTTTGATTTTTTATTAAGATTTTTGGGTATTGTAGAAGATCCAAGGGCAGTTTTTAGTTCTTTGATAGACTGGCTTAGGCGATTCCTATGGTTAGGGGCATCAGTTGATGTCACTGCAGTACCTCTGACTGTGAGGTCCTAGGGTTTGAGAATTTTTGCAGCTTTTTTGATCAGTGGGGTACAGAAGGTGGGGCACCTGATATTTGACCCAAGTCCTGATTTAATAAAGGCTCTCAACAAATTATTTATTAGAAAGAACCCAAAACAATGAGCTCAAGAAAGCTAGATGAATAAATTGATTTGATTAAATTGTAAAAATACTTGCTCCAATGAAAGTGCAGAGGAAGTGCGAAACTTAAAAAGAAAATAATTTTTAACGCTTTTTAATTTATTATTATAATTAAATAAATTGTTCTAACAAGGGA